CCCCCATTTCCAACATATATTTATATACTTATTGACTATGTAGTTATTGCATGAGTTAGCTATAGATGTTGTTATGGGTTTTGACCTACCATTGTTATAATTTTTAGGTCCTTATCAGTAGTAGGATTAGTAGTTGTTCGTGCAGATCAGAGACTTATCATCAATCACTCTTCTGGTGTCATTGATGTAGGACTCTACCTTCTGATTAGTTATTTTAGTTTTTTAGACAGTTATTTATTTTCAATTTTGGGATTTTATTAGGAGTCCATGTTTGAGGATTCCCGATTTGTATTCTTTTGGAGAATTTAATATTTGGAGATTTTCTTGAAAATAATGGATTTTATTTAGGCTCCGTTCAGTAGGAAGGAAAAAAATTGGATGGAAAGGAGAGAAGAATTGAAGGATGAAACATCCCTAGAAAAAAGATTATGAACTTCTTTCGTTTTGTTCGGTTGAATGGAAGAGAAGAGAAGAAGCTCACAACTTACTTTGTTCGTTAGGAGAGAAGGGAAAGAAAATTTTAAATTATTTTTACCATTATACCCTTACTATTTTTTACCACTTTTTAAAATTTTTATTATGTGATAAGTACGATTAAATTTGTAGTTTGTCATATATAAATATATAAATTTGTTGTTTGTCATTCATATATATATATATATATAATCATATTTCATCATTAAAAAAAATATGTGCCTAAATCCAATATTTCTATATTCGTTATTAACCTGACTACTATATTCCCATTGACCTAGAACAGATCTATGGTGCTGCACTAACTGTTTTGATCTTTTGATAATAATATCATCAGAGGTGCAATAATGGTGTTAATAAAGTGAAGAGATATTCATTTATTACTATTTTGGTAAATGACTTGGAGAATGACATTGTAACGAAGCAAACAAGAAAACTCTCCTAAACTATGATGCCAATGGAGATCATATTGCCTTACCAGACTAACCACTAACCGCTAACACATGAATCAAATCAGTTTGTAAATAGACCATATTTATGTGTGGATCTATGTATGTGTATAGAGTGAGAGCAACAGATTGACCATATTTATATGTAGATCTATGTTAACTGACCATATTTATATGCAGATCTATGTATGTGTATAAAGCGAGAGCAATAGAGAGTTTGCTACTTGCGTCACAGAGATTGCTGAGAGATTCAGTTAACAAGTCCAACAAAGGAGATGAGTTTGTGGAGTTTATTAATATTTGTGCATGATAATTACGTAATTTGAACTTTTTATAATAACCCACTTATTTTCTTTCCTGTCTTCAGCCCAAATTTGGGCGAATGAAAATTTGTAAAGTAGGAGGGATAACTCATCCCTCCTATTTTCCTTTCTCTCTGTGTCTCCTTCCTACCGAACAAATGAATTTTGTTTCTTCCCTCCTATTTTCCCTCCACCCATCTTCTTTCCTTCCTAAAGAATAGAGCTTTAGAGGATATTATTTACTTATTAATTAGTTTTCCCTTCAACGATATTATTTCTTTATTATTTATTCCTTTTGTATTATGTGTTCGATTTAAAATATTAATTGTTCGATATCCCCTAGGTTTTGGGCTTGGACTTGATCAACCCATGGCTTGAAAACGAGGGGGTATCACAGTCACCTCCTTCCCCTACTTAAAAAGGATGAGAGGCTGACTATCCCTCATTTCCTTATTAAAAGGACAAAAGACCAACTATACCTCTGATAAGTGCCGAAATATGCACATTTCAGCCTTTATTCTTATGATTGTTAGCACTTTAATCCTATCTTTATTCTTTGTTTAGTACTTATTTGTGTTATTGTCATTTTCAGGTTGTTGCATCAGAAAAGGGTTCAGTCTAGTGCGTTAAAGTCTTTTTGGAGCCAATCAAAATGCAGCAAAGAAGGGAAGCTCCAAAAATAGCTGAAGTGGGAATTCACGATCGATCCTGGGAATTCATGATTGATCCTGGCAAATACACGATCGATCGTGCTCTAAATACAATTGATCATAGGAAATTCACCATCAATCATGAGTCGGGCATAATCATTTAATGCTCGTGTTTTGGGCTCCAATTTCGAGGAGACAGGGTCTGCGGGATTGCCTGACTTAAATGTATGGGTCTGACTCATTTTGGCCTTGAAGAGTCACCAATAAATAGAAGATTGAGCCATTTTATAAAGGGTTGGACATTTGGGGGATTTTAAAGGAAAACGAGAATTTTAGATCTACTCTCTCTCTAGGGTTTCTTTTAAGGAAAAAGAAAAAGAAGTGAAACCACTATGATGACATCTACCTTCTCCATGAGTGGCTAGTTTATCACTTAGGGCTTGGATGAGCCCTAAGCTTGTGTAATTATACCTTTTGTCTTTTAATTTTGGGGATTATGAATTGTAATTAGTGCTTGGTCTTGTGATTTCAAACTTGGTTGTACCATGGTTTATATTGTTAATTCTTCCAATTGATTCTCTATTTTGAGTAGGTGTTGTCTTATGTGTGATTAATTGAGTGTCAATCTCTTCATTGAGTATTTTTTGTAATTGTGCTTAGTGATGGCCATACATGATTTCTATTGGATACAATTGCTTTTAATTTGATGGATTGTGCTTAATTTTGATGGGTTGTGCTAGACCTTAGAGTAGTTGTAGTTAGGTAGACAATCCGTGCTTGCTTTTGATAGTTCATGCTTATTCACTGCAATTTGTATTATCCTCTTGATTGTTGATGTGTGCTTGTAGCCACATTTTTATTACAATGTGTTTTCCCTATTAATTAAAGGCATTAGGTATAATTGCATCAGTTTAGTGGTGTAATCCATGCCCTAAGCCTCGCTCCTTATTACTTTAATCCAAGTTTACTTTAGCTTTATTTCATTCGCATGATCTACATAGTAAAATCATCATTAGTATAATCAAACCAATCAGAATCTTTTTAATCTCACGCTCATTGATGTTAAGTTAAAGAATATACATATGAGCTTATAATTTCTTCATTATTTGTTCAGAATATGAGATTTTAGGTTAATCCATTCTTACATCTATAACAGTAGTATACTATTAAAGTTTGTATTATGCATACACCTTTAGATGGCTTAACTAGCTAGCTTGTGTTAGTTGTGCTTTTGTAATTGAAGCTTGGGCATAAAATTGAGATTCTACATAAGCAGTTCCATTCTTAAAATTATATAGCTATTCATTGTGAATGAGATGAAAATTTTCATATAAGATGGCCAAGGGATATAACCATATATATGTTCATGGATGTGGTTGCTCCTATATTATGTGGCTAATATGTCAATTAAGAGATAAGAAACCGAAGTGACTTAGCGTTCCCTGCGCGTGACAAACAAGCTTGGGAACAGGGGGCAAGGGGGCAACTGATACGGAATATTGAACCACTTAATAAGTCTAAGAGACTTGAAAATCCAAAAGGGTATGGATAAACTCAAGAAGGCAGATATAATTACTAGCACCCTTTCTGATGATTCTTACAATTCATGATGGATAAGGGAAATGATTCGGTTTCATGACAAAACACTGCCACCATAAAACTATTATTAAAAAAATCATTAGTCAACCTAGAAAGGTACGCCATAAATCTCACATTTAATCATTTCTCAGATATTTAATTGTTAAGTACTAACTTGACCGTCGGAGTACACTCGGTCGGCACCACGCCGGTCATCACTTCTTTCTTGTCTTGCAAGAAGCACTCTCGCTTTGGACTGTGCAGATTTTTGCATTAACACCGGTAAAAGTAACTAAATCAAAATGCAATTTTGAAGGCTTTTGGCTAAAATAACCCGAATTTTATCATGAAAGTATCGATCTAAAGTTTTTGTGATGGCAAGATGAAGATTTCAAAAATCAATAATTAATGTCCATGATGAGACGGCTAAGATAGTTCTTTCTGCAATTCAATGGTTAAAGTAGCTCATATCGAAAAGGAATATAGAGAGCTTCAAGGTAAAATGACTTGAATTTCGCCACAAAAACATCCATTTAATGGTTTGTTGATTGTAGGTGGAGAATTGGTAAATTACAAATAGGTGAAGTGGGTTCGAAAAACTTTTTGCAATTTTCAAAATTAGCTCAATCGGGTGAGCCTATTTAAAATCAAAGAGTGTCATTAGATGAATAGTGATCCAAAATAATTTTGAAAACCCTTTCATTGAGTTTGATTAGGGATTATGGGTTTTTTGATATTGACCATAAGCAGAATTAGAGCACTAAAAACCTTAATTGATGATTAATTTCAGATTGGTTCCATGATTCAGTTACAAAAATGATTTGAAATGTTGAATACTAATGATATTCCACACTTGGAATGCTTTTAGGGTGTGTTCAATTGTATGTAATTGGAATTGGAATTTGATAAATTTTTTGTTCAATTATTTTTTTTATTTTTATTTTTTTTTATTTTTCAATTCTAAGGCTCCAATTCCATACAACCTTAAAGCCTTTACTCTTTGATATTCATCGAAATAAAAATTAGGGTACTGAAAATCCTAATTGAAATCTACTGAAAATAATCTAAAGTGATAAATAATTCCACTTTTCAATTGAATTTTGAGTTACTAGAAACTACTTGATCACACAATTGATGAATTGAGCCTTGCCACAAGTTAGTGGTAAAATCAAATATTTGTGTAAAAAAAATATGGTGTCTTGCTTTTAATCTAAGTGATCGTGTCTTGCTCCATTTAAATTGAAGGAACCACCAACATGCCGTAGCTTAGCGGTACAAGGTTTTTAATTTTTTAAAAAAAGTTAGAGGTTCGAATCTCAATAGTGTGTGTGTGAGGGTCCCAACTAAAAAAAAAAAATAAATAAATAAAATGAAGGAACCAAGATGTGTTTAGGCCAACATCAAGTAGTCCTGGCAAATAAAAGTGACTTTATTATACACGCTTCTACACAAACCATGGTTTTGTCTTCCTTACACACAGGTTGGGCCGGTTTAAACCCATATTCGTCCTTGTCACCGTGACACAAACATAACATTATGTAGTACGGAGTTTTTTTTTTCAGCCCCCCCCTGCGTAGCTCAAATTCTCTCAGACTGAACTTGCTGTGTAACTTCATTGCTCTCACCCTCTCTCTCTCTCCCTATATTTACCGGAGACCCACTCTCTCTCTCTCTCTATACCGGAGAAAATTACATTGTTTTTGTTGTCTGTCAAGTAAACACTACCGACGATGAAGAAAGATAGTTCAAAACCTCCACGGCAGAGGATTTTGGGAAGCAAGTCGCTCCAAATTTCAGAAGACGAAGCCTCGTGCTTAGTTGGTAGCATAGTCGAAAAGGGTATCTCAGAAAACCCCCAAAAAACCCCTCTCCAGCCTCCTCGCGCCACCGTTCTGCCTTTTCCGGTGGCTCGTCACCGCTCTGACGGCCCGGTATGCCCTCTTTCAATATTATATCATCATTCCCTAATTCATACATACATAATATATATATATTTATGGGTGTGTGTGTGTGTACTTCTGTATCTTTCTTTTTTTATTTCAATAATTACCACCAACTCTTGAAATTAGGTCTTATTTTTCTTATATTCCTCCGTTTGGGTGGTGGGAAAATGAAGGCAATAGAAAAAGAAAATGGAAGAAATTACTAGATGAGGGTACAGCATGACTTGGTTCAAATTTTTATGAGTAATTATGTTGTGAGATTTATATGTACCACTAGCAAGTGCACGAATCTTTGCAGATAGGATTTACTTGTAAGGGTGTTGTACCTAAGGGACTTGTGTAAAATAAGTTTGTCAACAGATTTTTTAAATTTCAAATTAACTTGAAAGTAGATAATCAAATTATGATGTTGAATTCTAAATTAACTAAATTGAAAAATAAAATAAACTAAAGAACAATGATTAAATAGGATGTAGAAAATAGAAAGAGAGGATTAGGGATATGATTTCACCACTAACGTCGCACCACCAGTCAATTGCAGTAATTTATTGGAGATATATCATATAACATGCACAGGGAATTAATCATGCCTACAAGCACATATTAATTCAGCTAGAAAATAATATAATTTAAAGTTGAGTATGGATTATCTTCGATTGGTATAAACCATCTACTTATCTACTTTACTCTAGGGCGTAGCATGGTCTATCTTTTCTAGGCATAATTCATCAAATCTTTAACATTGTATTTAGAGAAATACCATTGTGTAATCATCTCATTCACAACTATAAGAAGTGAATGAGTTGTGTTCAATCACAAGATTAAAATATCTAAGATAAGATAGAAAAATATTTGTAATTGAATTAAAACTTTAAACCCGATTCTTATTGAAAAGTCAATTAAAAATCCTATAGATTACACAATCATGCATGATAAAAATTATTCTCCAGTAATTAAATACAATCAAACCAGTGTGCTAAGCTAGGGCTACATCACAACCCTAGCAAAGCGTTTAGCCAAGCATGACTAGAGTGGAATTCTTCATGGTTGAGGAAGACATCTTCACCGCCATGGATTGATCCCTTCCTTCTTCTGAATGCTTCTCTCTGATCTTAGCCTCAAGCTCCTCTGTACGATCCTTCAATGCTGTAGGTGACTCTCTTTAAATAATAAAAGATCAGCCCTAAAGTTCCCTTTTTCATATAGAAGATATACATAGAAATTCTGTCAAATAAGGACTCCCAAAATTCGTACAGACTTTCAGGCCAATTTTGACAAGGTAAACAGCTGTTTTAGGAAATCCTCGTGAAATATAAAATTGTAGCTCTTCGAATTTCCTTTCAACCTACGTGGGAATTTAGCTGTTTTGACACTCGAGGAGAGAGATACAGCCAGATTACCAAAACGGGTTCAAGTTACCAACTTTGGAGAAAGTTTCCTTTTTGGAGAAGGATTTTTCCTTTTCTTCTTCTTTCCATTCTTATCAACTTGTGGCTTCTGTTGGACTATTTTTTAAGTATAATTAGACTTGGATCTCCAACATTGCTCGTCCCACGGAATGTCATCTTTTAAAGTTCAGAATCACTGGTCTTGACTGAATTTACAATTAAAGGCCTGAAATAAGAAAAAACAATAAAACAATGTAAAATCACAAATAAACTATTATTAAGAGAATAAAACATGCAAATAAAGGGGCTAAAATGTATTACATTCAGCGCCTAACAAATTCTTTGTTCTATAAGAACACATAATAATAATAATTCAAAATTTTGTTTGTTGTAATTGTTAATTGAGAATTGACTTAACCATTGGCCATTATATCTAACTTATACGATTTGAGAGGACTGCCGTTTGAATCCACCTGAACTGTTGTGCACAGTGGGAGGGGCTTTTAACAACATTAAATACAATTTATTTTGATAAGTAATATATATCTCGCAACATAACTATATGTTGCAAGTCATATAGTTATTTTTACTACATTTGAATGCTGCAAAAGCTCCTCATTCAGTGGAGGGGCTTTCAACATTAAACATAACACTTTTTTTTGGTGCAATGAAGTCAATATCGCCAAAAACCCATTAAATACACACACTGCATCACTTTCTATTCATTGTCATAATCAATACATAAAAGAGATGTCTGATATCGTCATGGCCATCATCACAATCGTTAATCTCTCCACAGCACTTGTAATGGCGACATGGGCAATTTCATACGACACTGCGTTTTCTCCCAACAACAACGGTACCACAATCAGACCCATATTCGTCCCAATTCCCATCTTATTAATTTCAATAATGCCATCATTTCCTACACCCCTGTAAGTAAATATACTATATATATATATATTATGTATATATATGTTTCTGTATTATGTAAAGGTACCCAGTACACACACATAGCTATATGTAAAGATCTTTGAGAATTCATTTGTGAACTTTCCCAATTCATTTGTTTAATTGCACCTTAAGCTGTTTGGAGTAGAATTTTAATTCTTTTGATTGATTTATTTATTCATTTTTATCTGGGATTATATGTTTATATACATGTATAAGTATATATGTTTGAAGTTTAGGATGTTTGAGGATTCATTTCTTTCTGGTGTTAGTTCATATCCTCTCATTGGCCAATTATAAATATTTGCAAGTAAAAGCCGTTTTTGATTGTCACTCGTAGATAAACATCAAGAGCACCTTCCTTTTTCTTTTCTTTTTCTTTTTTTTTTTTTTTTTTTTTTTTCCTCATTCAAATTATAGTAAGTTCATATACTTGAGCAACAATTGCATTTTGCAGCATTGGGCTCCAACGGATAGTAAAAATAGTGGTGGTGGTGATGATATATACGATGAAGAAGATGAAGATTTAGCTGAATTTGACCCAATAGGTGTTTTTGCTAATCCAGTGCAGAGGAAACAGAAGGAAGGTCTGGATTTTAGTCGTTGGCGAGAGCTGATAGCTACTGATAATTCTTTTGTGTCTCACAAAAGTCAAGCAGATAAACATTTATTAGTGGAATCCAAAGAGCATAGGAAGGTTAGTGAAGTAACTGAAATTTCAGGCAAGATAAACAACCATATTGATGCTACGGATAATGGCCTGTCAAAGACATCTGTTAATGCGATAGCACAGAATGTGGTTATGGAAGAGGAAATGTCAGGAAATGCAATTACTGGAACACCAGGTGAGATTACGGGGCAGGTGTCAAAAAGACAAAGGCAAATGGATACAGAGATGCAAAACATGTCAGAATTGCATGTGCCTTCTAGGTCTACTTCCAGCAACTTGGGAAATGAACAAGGGTCCATAAGTCTTGAAAGTCAAATTGATGTTGAGAATCGTGCACGGTTACAGGGTATGTCAACTGATGAGATTGAAGAAGCACAGGCTGAGATACTGGAGAAGATGAATCCTGCACTAATAGAGGCTTTAAGAAAGCGGGGTCAGGATAAGTTGAAGAAGAAAAATTTAGATAGCTTGAATACGGCCACCAATGGAGAGGTGGGTGATTTGCAAGATGAGAAAAATTTGTTTAAAGATAAAAACGGTTCTTCACTTTCTGAGAGTGATATCCCTCATAAGGTGACAGCAACAGCAGCAGAAAACACACAGAGTGGACCAGGTCGTAGTGCCATTGGGAGTTTGAAGGCCTCTAGTAGTAGTTTGTGGGATGCTTGGTCTGATAGAGTTGAGGCTGTCAAGGAATTAAGGTTTTCATTGGATGGTAGTATTATCAAAAAGGACCTCTCTCGGGTACCAGAGACTGGTAAGTCTAAATTATTATCATTATAACCTTCCTTCTCATTTTTGTTGCTGTTATTGTTATCCTTATTGTTATGGTTTACTTCCTTATGAAATAAATTTTTATTTTTTCAATAGTATATATATATATATATATATATATTTAAAAAGCTTAGGCTTTTAGAGTAGATGGTTGTTAACATGGTATTAGAGCATTCAACGTTTTCAGTTCAAACCTCACTATCACTTTGATAGTTAAAATTGAACATGTGTTACCCCAAAAGGCGGCCATACACGAGAGGGGGTGTTAGAGGATTTAAAATATTAAAGTTAACACCCCCTCTAACAACTCAAGCGTTTATGTAGATGGTTGTTAACGGACCTAACACAGGGATAAGTGCTAGATTATAGGTTTGGATAAAAACTCTAAAATTAAGAGGGTTTATAATTAGTAGGAGTAAAACTGAACATTTTTTTTACCTAGGCTTGATGTTGAGAAAGAGTAAGAAATTGGAGATAATGTTAATTATAAATTTTACAGTAGGATAGGTTCAATGGAGGAGTGCCACTTATATATTATGTGATTGGCATATACTTCTAAAATTTTTAGGTAAATTTTATAAAGCAATTATTAATTTATTGGACTAGTCATATTTTATAGGATAAAATATTGGGCGGTTAACAACGTATTCATAAAATGAGTGTTGTGGAAATATGAATGTTAAAATGGATGTGGGGCAAGAATAGAACTGATAGACTTAGAAATGAATACCTCTGTGAGATGGTTTGAAGCAGCACTATACAAGATAAAATGAGAGAGCCGATTAAGGTGTTTTGGCCATGTCCAACGATCACTAATAACTACACAGCTAGGAACACAGGAAAAGTAATGTGGTCCTTATTGAGGGTTACGTTAGGTAAATGAAAGGCAAAAAAATACATAGGTTGAGATAGTTAGGAAAGATAGGATACCATATGGTTAAAACGGAACTGTGGCCTAAAATGAATGTGGCGTAACAATATTATGGGGACACAGTTGTCTCAGTTGCGGGAAAGATGACTAGGGCATTTCAGGAATGTGATTGAGAAGCTTACACATGCGCATGGTCAGTTTCACTATAAGCAGATCTTAAGTGGTGTTACCACCAAAGGCTTTAGCCTAGTGGTACTTCCTCACCTTCTAAAGTGGGAGGTCAAGGGGTCACATCCCCATTAGGTTGAAGTGGGTGTGTGAGTTTCAACTAGGAGAAATTTTTTTTTAAGTGGTGTTTGTATTTGTTTATTTTTTTGAACTGGCAAGTAATTTCCCATTTCGTTTTCTGGGTACTTTAGCATGTTCTCTTACTTGATTAAGATTTATAAGTTATGTCATGGAACTATGTTTCTTTTACAAAAGGTGTTGATCAAATTAACATAAGGTTTACTTTTTGCATCTCTAATGTAGTTCATTGAAAAAAGTATCTTTACAAAGTGAAAAACTTAGCCAACTTATCAATACGAAAGCAAAGTGGGCAATAGATATTGATAGGATGACATAATCTAGGACCACATGAACACGTGTATTGCTTACTTTTCATTGCATTCTTTGGCCGGCCTACTTTGTTGGCTTGAGCAGCATTACTCAAAAGTAATGAAGTTCCGTGAAAAGGGGGTTTATATTAATGATACATTATTCTTTGGCAAAACTATATGCCTTGTCGTAACTTTGATGAGTTGATTTCCCCTTGTTTATCACATTGTAGGTAATATCTCTGTTCACAATGGGTATAGTGCCAATAATGTTTCTGAACGCGATTTCCTTCGAACTGAGGGAGATCCTGGTGCTGCAGGTTACACTATTAAAGAAGCTCTAGCTCTCACTAGAAGTGTGGTTAGTTGACAGTATATATCAGTTCTAGCTCATTATTCTTTTGATAATTATCAGTTCTAGCTCATTATTCTTTTGATAATTATCAGTTCTAGCTCATTATGATTGAAGCACATTCTTTGCAAGTGATTATATTTAGATTGTAAGATATTCTTCTCTGAGCAGATTCTAAAATGCAAATTTCAGGTTCCTGGGCAACGGGCTCTTGCATTGCATCTCCTTGCTTCTGTTCTTGATAGGGCATTATACAACATTTGTCATAATCAAGTTGGGTGTAATGTGAAAGATGCTGACACTGACAGGCTTATTGACTGGGGAGCCATTTGGGCATTTGCTTTAGGCCCAGAACCTGAGCTTTCTTTATCACTGAGGTGAATCCTGAATGCTTTTGTTGCTTGTGAATGATCTTTTTCCTTACTTATTACATGGCATCTAATCTGCAGGTGTACAATTTATGTTTTTTTGTTGCTTGAATTTTTTTCTGTTAATTTAACGGTTCAAGATGTTGGCTGTACACTACTTTTGTCACACTGAAGTTCACCACTTGGAACCTGGGAGTGAGTTTTGATGTCCCTATTTCTCTCACTCGTACTGTTTGCTGAAAGTAAATTCAAGTGCCACCGTTTTCAAACTCTGTACTAGTTGCACTATCAGCATTGTACAATACCTATACATATCAGATATCCAGCATGTAGTTATTGCTGAGTGGACTAAATTAGGGGGTAGAAAAGTTTCAATTAGAAATTCTTATTGAAATACCCAAAAAAAAAAAAAAAAGAAAAAGAAAAAAGAAAAGAAAAAAAAGTCATAACAATAAAATAAACAGAATAAAATAGGACTAGCAAGGTTCTGAGAGCAATCAGTGAAGCATAAAAATAACAATGGTTGAATTTACTTATCAAAAAAAAAAAAAAAAATTAAGACTAGCAAGGTTTCATTAAATTTTCTATGGCCAGGTTTCGTTAAAGGTCATAACAATAATATTTTACAAGAACCTTTAATGCTTAGATATATATTTGAAACATTTAATTTGTTAATTCTTGGTTCACACTGGGGTCCTCTAATGTGCATTGGTGTATGGGGAATTAATATGCTTGGTCAATTTCTTTTAGGTTTGTGCATAAATTGTTTTAAAGTATCAAGCACATCTCTGGTTCACACTAACCTCTCATATGGAAGGTTTTAGAAAATCATTGCCTCCAAAATGTATATTACTTATCAATAGTGTTGCATTTCTATTTTCTTGCACCTTCTATTGTGCTTTAAATTTCTAGAATCATCTTTTGATGTTTTAACTGTACATTTTTGTTATCTTGTAGGATGTCTCTTGATGATAACCACAACTCTGTAGTGTTAGCTTGTGCCAAAGTTATTCAATGCATACTGTGTTGTGAGATCAATGAGAGCTTCTTTGATATCTCAGAAGTAAGTTGAATTGTTGTAACTGGTTTTTTATTTAATTGTATCAAAATATTAAAAGTAACACATTCTGTTTCCAGAAAATAGCGACTTATCCAAAGGATGTTTGTACTGCTCCTGTATTTAGAAGTAGACAAGAAATTGATGTTGGTTTCCTTCGCGGTGGCTTTTGGAAGTATAGTACCAAAGCTTCTAACATTCTCCCTTTTGGCGAGAATTCTGTGAATGACAAAACTGAAGGTGAACATACTATTCAGGATGACGTTGTTGTTGCTGGACAAGATTTTGCTGCAGGTTTAGTTAGGATGGGAATCCTTCCAAGGATTCGCTATCTCTTGGAGGTAAGCATGATACCGTGGGATGCCTCTTTTTTTTGGGATATTGATTCAAATAATACAAAAGCTTCTCATAAAATTCATCATTTACTCTCTTTAGAACTGAAGAGCCTTTGGCATTTTTTTTACCTATAAAGTGGATTTTTTTGTTCTTGTAGATTTGCATGATCTAATTTTTGCTCCTCAATCTTTGTTTGCTCTGAAAGTGTTGACGCCCATTTTTTCTGTTCATACGTGAGATGATGAGAGTGCTAGGTATGTTTGGGCCAAGTTGCTGGAGGTTAGAATTTAATAATGGCACATACCAAAGTATTATTGGACATTGTTAGTTTCTGTGATTCTGCATCCATTAATAATTATGAGGACTGGTGCTGTTGGACGAAGGGTGGTTAAAAAGGATGAACAACAATAATAGTGTGAGTTGATTGTGCTAAATGTTTATCGACAATATTTAATCTTGAAAACTGAAATAATAAATGGAGTTTTGGGACCATGTGTGTGACATTTCCAAACGACAGGGATTTTTTTTTTTTTTTTTTTACCTCTAATGTTTATCCCTGTTTTGTTGAGTATCACCTGTGATTCATAGACAAAAGTTTAATCTTAATTAAAAAGAACTTATAGAAAGGTATTTATGTAGCTACTCGACGATGATGATGACCTTTTAGAAGTATTGCAATAGTAGCTGTCCCCATTATAGTCATTGCTGTAGCTGATAGCTGATAGTATCATCGGCAGCATTACCATGAGCACTTCTAGTGACTTGTTTGGGATTGTGTAAAGGAGATCTTGGTAGGTATTGAAGTTATATTTTTCAATCACATTTTTTTTTTTTTTTTTGATAAGTAAAAATTTTATAAAAAAATGCTCAGAAGGGGAGCGGAACCCAAGCAAATACAAAAGACCACAAAGGCCTCAGGCCTTCAAAGAGGCTAAAAAATCAACTACTTCCTCCAAAGAACAATGATCTCTTCCTGAAACCCAACAAAAAAGAGTAGAAATAATCGAGAATTTAAGCACCGAAATCGACAAAGCCTTTCCTTCAAAGAATCTCCTATTCCTTTCCATTGAAATTGTATTTACAAATATTGTTTTACGTCCACTCAAACCTTTACTATTCTTAACAAAAATCCATGGATGATAAGTAACACAGCTATGGTGATCAATGGAAAAAAAAAAAAAAAAAAAAAATTTCAGTTTTAAAAAAGATCTGCCACTAGTACAAATGTACTCTTCCATTACGAGTCATTTCCCTATTCTTTGTGTGATTATGGAATGATTTAATTTTAGTATGTCACAAACTTCCATGATTGCCTATATATGAGTAACTTTGTCACTCAGTGGGATTTTCTATAAGATCATCTGAATAAAACTCATGAAATTTCATGGAGCAGCATGAAAGTTCTTAAAGTGATTATACAACATAAATAAAAGTTTGTCTCCATTGTTAAATTTATCTCCCATCATTTAGTTATTTAATAGGATTTGAAAATGCTGATATTAATTCTTTGAATGGTTCTCATAAAAATCAAATAAAGATCAGATAAATGTGTATTTGTTGCTAAAGAAAAATATATAATCATTACAAATTTAGGATTCTTCCATTTCTCAAAGAGCATATGATGTTTAGAAAATACAAACTTTATTTTGCATTTTGATTAGGCTGACCTGAGATGCTTATGACAGATGAAATTTTGTGCTCAATGTAAATTTTTATACGCTTGCTCCAGAAAACGCAGTGTGCATGCACGAGCCTGTGAAAAATTTAGTTGCATTGCACCTGGTATATGCTTAAGAAATAATCTCATAAACACTGTTTGCAGCCTTTTTAACAATTTGTTTTGCACTAGGTAGTTAAGATATTGTGATAAATATGTTTTGCCTTCTACTTTTGGAGTTTATTTAGATTTCGCTTGTGGACTCAAAATAAAGTGTTTTGAATTGGAATCTGTTATAGTCTAGATGGTGGAACAGGTATTTTGTGGGTTTCTAAATGTTTATTTCTAAATAATATATTCATGTGTGTTAAAAGTTGATAATAGAATATAGAACTCCAATCATTTATTTATTTATTACTAATTTTTTTGGTGTTGTATCGGGAAGGGTTTCTTTATACCCATTCCCCCTCCAAGCCTTGATGAATATTAGTTTTAACTTCAGTTCTGGTGCAATTACACAGAGATTTCCTCTTTGAGTTAGCCGGTACTTTTAAGATGTATGTTTCTTTTTGTTTGTTTATGTGTAAGTGGAAACATTGTACTAAAGTAGAAAATGAGCACAACCATTCTTCTGCCCATCTCTTTAAGTTGTAACGTGAACTCCTTTTTTCAGCCTCTAGGTTGGAATCGGTACCTGTAATTGCAAGTGTTGCATCAATTGTCGATTAGTAGAAGCATCTTAGGCACCCTAAGATTTTTTGTTGTAAGCATGAAGGTTTCGAAGATTTTAGAATTTGATGCAAGATATAATTACTATGAGATTTCCTTGTTTTAACATGTTCCTTTTAAACTGCTATGCGCTTGCTCATATAATTGAAATAATAATTTCCTCAAAAACGTAAGTATAAAATTTGATAGTGCTGTAGTTTTACGTAATGTATTGATTTTTATGGTTCCAGACAGACCCTTCAGCAGCTTTGGAAGAAGGCATAATTTCTATATTGATTGCAATAGCAAGGCATTCTCCAACTTGCGCAAATGCAATAATGAAATGCCCAAGGCTTGTTCAAACAGTTGTTGACAGATTTACAATGAAAGACCAAATGGAAGTTCATCCTGCTAAGATAAAATCTGTTACCCTTTTGAAGGTAATCAATATTTTGTCCTTGCTTACAGACAGAATGTATATCTTTGTTTCTTATATTCTTTTATTCAGGTAAATTGTTTTGGCACTTCAAGAAATATTTATAATAGTGTTTTCTGTTTTTTGTGTAATGAGCAGGTTTTGGCTCGATCCCAGAAGAAGAATTGCTCAGATTTTATGGAAAGTGGGATTTTTCAGAAAGTAACATGGCATTTGTATCGTTATGCATTCTCCATTGACCAGTGGATAAAATCGGGAATGGAGAACTCTAAACTTTCATTGGCATTAATAGTTGAACAATTACGTTTTTGGAAGGTCTGCATTCAGTATGGGTATTGTGTATCTTACTTTTCAGATTTATTCCCTGCTCTCTGCGTGTGGTTGGGTGTACCTTCATTTGAAAAACTCATAGAAAACAACATCCTTGGTGAATTTGCTGCTGTTGCCAAGGAAGCGTACCTTGTTCTGGAGGCTCTTACTAAAAGACTTCCAAATATATATACACATCTGCATCTAGGCAATGAAATAAGTGGGGAGGTTGCTGGAGAAGACATGGAGACTTGGTGTTGGAGCCATGTCGGTCCAATGGTTGATTTTGCTCTGAAGTGGACAGCCTTTAGTAGTGATCCATACATATCCGAGCTCTTCTACGGGCAAAAAGATAAGAAGAGTGATTTCCCTGTCCAAAATGTACCAGTTAAATCATTGTTATGGGTGATATCTGCTGTCATGCGTATGCTTTCCAGTGTGCTTGAAAGAGTGATCCCAAATGATGCAATCAGCCTGCCTGGTGGGCATGTCCCATGGCTGCCAGAGTTTGTCCCTAAGATTGGACTTGAACTCATTAGGAACAGGTTTTTGGGATTTTCAGATGTGAATGGTACAGAAAATGGAAAGAATCCAACTGAAGGTAGCTCTTTTATTGAGTATTTATGTGATTTGAGACATCAAAGTGAACATGAAACGTCAATAGCTTCTGCATGTTGCCTTGATGGATTAGTTCAAGTTGTTATTTCTGTTGACAAGTTGATAAAGTTAGCTAAGTCTGAGAGTCATCCGCCATTGTCCCAAAGCGACAGTTTCGCAAGAGAAAGTATGATACTTGCAAATGGGATACTTAAGTCATCTCTGGTTGAATTCAGAAATTTGCTAACTACTTTCATGAAGTTAATTGCTTCTGAGTGGCATAATGTGCAGTCCATTGAGGTGTTTGGCAGAGGTGGCCCTGCTCCTGGGGTTGGATTGGGCTGGGGTGCTTTGGGTGGAGGTCTTTGGTCTACTGCTGTTTTGTTGGCTCAAACAGATGCAGGATTGCTCATTCACTTGCTTGAAATATTTAAGATTGTGTCTGCTGAAGATCTGCCTGCAGTTGAAGACATGACCTTTATTATGCAAAAGATAAATTGTGTCTTTGGAGTATGTTCTGTTGTAGGACCAAGGGATGGATTTATGGTGGACAAGGCATTGGATATCTTGTTTGAAGTCCCTGTTCTGAAGTATCTTGATATCTGTATCCGCCGTTTTCTTTACCTTAACAATGGACATAAACTTATTGGATGGGAATATAAAGAAGAGGACTACATGCTCTTCAGTAAGATTTTAGCTTCACACTTCAAAAACAGATGGTTGTGTGTAAAAACAAAGTCCAAAGCAGTGGATGAAATTAGTTGTGTTGGCCGGAAAATGTTGAAGAAGGGCAGTGATGCTCTGGAAACCATTCACGAGGACTTGGACACATCAAATATTACCAGTCATGATCATGATTGCACTTCTTTGTTAGTAGAATGGGCTCACCAGAGACTGCCTCTACCAATGCATTGGTTTCTCAGTCCAATTTCAACTATCAGTGACAGAAAGCGTGCTGATCTTCCTAGCGCTTCTAATATATTAAATCATGTGCAGGACCTCAATCCTTTTCTTGAAGTTGCTCAAGGTGGACTTTTCTTTCTTTTAGGTATCGAAGCAATGTTTTCATTAGTCTCGACTGAGGTCGGCTCCCCTGTTCGGAGTGTACATATAATCTGGAAACTGCATTCCTTGTCCACGGTCTTACTTATTGGTATGGGTGTGCTTGAAGATGAGAAGAGTAGGGTTGTATATGAAACTTTGCAAGAGGTCTATGGGCAGCTTCTTGATAAGTCAAAAGTTAGTAAAACAGAATTTATTTTGGAAAATAATGAGAAGTTGTCTGCAGAAACTGGAGGGAAATATGGTGTGGAGTTCCTTAGATTCCAATCAGAGATACATGAGAGTTATTTTACATTTATGGAAACTCTTGTAGAGCAGTTTGCTGCTGTTTCCTATGGTGATTTAGTTTATGGTCGGCAAGTGGCAATTTATCTACACCGTTGCGTTGAAGCTCCAGTACGACTTGCTGCCTGGAATGCACTATCTAATGCTCGTGTTCTTGAACTTTTGCCACCCTTAGGGAATTGTTTTGCTGAGGCTGAAGGATACCTTGAACCTACTGAGGTCAGGACTGCAAACTACTTCTTAATAGTACAATTTTGAAACAATGTGCTGTTTGCGGTCTAGATTACTTTTTTTCTTCTTTTCTCCACCAGTAAATACTGTCTAGATTAGTTTGCTTACATTATATGAAATTCTGGTGCCATCAACTTGCAAGAAAATAACAATGATTCGGAAGGAAAGCATACTAATTTTCCAAACTCTTAAGGGAGGTGTAATGATGATAGGTGAATACTCCGAGAGAAAGAGAAGAAGAAATTCTCTTATTGCATATTTAGAAATTGTACAAAAACAATACATAAATAGGAAAATTTGGCGGCTACAGACCAGCTACTCAATTTCCTAAATTGATGGAATAAAACAAGCAACAAATAAATAGGAATTAAACTAGGAAAGTAAACACACGGAAAGAATCAAATCAACATTAAATAGGAAAAACAATCAGCTAGCATTTACACCCTAAGATTAGGGTGCCAGCTATACACTGATAAATCCATGTCTCCACTACGTATTGAGAAAAAAGAAAGAATTCTCAACACTCCCCCTCAAGCTGGAGCATAGATGTCGATCATGCCCAGCTTGTCTCCTAATTTTTCGAAATTCAATCTCGGTAGGCCCTTTGTCAAGATATCAGCAATTTGGCTACTTGTAGGAACAAATGTCATACAGATTGTTCCTTTTTCAATTTTCTCTTTGATGAAATGACGATCTACTTCTACATGCTTTGTTCGATCGTGATGAACAGGGTTATGAGCTATACTGATCGCAGCCTTATTATCACAGTACAGCTTCATAGGCAGATTTGCTTCAATTTTTAATTCTTGTAATAATAACTTTAACCACAATAATTCACAAATACCCTGAGCCATAGCTCAAAATTCAGCCTCTGCACTGCTTCTAGCAACAACTGCTTGCTTTTTACTTCGCCAGGTTACTAGGTTTCCCCAAACAAACGTACAGTAACCAGTAGTGGACCTTCTATCTGTAATTGAACCTGCCCAATCAGCATCTATGTATGCCTCAATTTTCTTCTCTTCATGTTTTCCAAAAAACAGGCCTTTACCAGGAGTTCTTTTGAGGTACTTGAGGATTCTGTACACGGCTTCTAAGTGATCCTTTCCAGGAGAATGCATGAATTGACTGACTGCACTAACTGCGAAGGCTATGTTTGGATGTGTGTGAGACAAATAGATCAACTTTCCAACCAATGGCTGATACATGCCTTTATCCACAGGAGTTCCACCTTCTGTCAGTCCTAGCTTTCGATTAGGATCCATCGGAGTGTCAGCAGGTTTACAGCCAAGCATACCTCTCTCCTTTACTAAGTCCAGAGTGTATTTTCGCTGTGAGACTGAGATTCCTTTGCTGGTTCTTGCAACTTCCATGCCCAAAAAATATTTTAAGAAACCAAGATCTTTAATCTCGAATTCACTAGCTAGAGTCTTCTTCAATAGTTCCATTTCTTCAAGATCATCACCTGGATTATATCATTAACATAAACAATTAATATTGTGACTTTCCCTTCACGGGATTGTTTATAGAATAAAGTATGATCTGCTTGAGTTTGACTGTATCCATGGCTGCGAATTGTTCTAGTGAATTTTTCGAACCAAGCACGTGGTGACTGTTTCAACCCGTAAAGGGATTTCCTCAGTCTGCATACTTTCCCAGATTCGCTCCTGTTTTCAAATCCTGGTGGTTTGTCCATGCATACCTCCTCGTCAAGATCTCCATTAAGAAAGGCATTTTTCACATCTAGTTGTTGTAGAGGCCAATCCAAATTTGCTGCGAAAGATAAAATGACTCTGATGGTGTTTAGTTTTGCCACCGGTGCAAAAGTCTCCCGGTAGTCCACTCCATATGTCTGAGTAAATCCCTTCGCTACAAGTCTAGCTTTATCTCTCTCAATAGAGCCATCAGATTTGTACTTCACAGTGAAGACCCATTTACATCCCACTGTTTTCTTTCCTGTAGGCAAGTTTACCAATTCCCACTTGCCATTTTTTTCAAGAGCCCTCATTTCTTCTTTAACAACTTCTCTCCACTCTGGAATAGAAAGAGCCTCCTGTATAGAATTTGGAATTTTGACACTGGAAAGATTAGTGGTAAAAGCTCTATAGGATGGTGATAATTTTTTATACAAACCAAATTTAGAGATAGGATGAAGGGTGCATGATCGAATTCCTTTTCTAAGGGCAATTGGCAAATCTAGATCAGATTCATTATTAAGCACAAGAGTAGACTCAAAGGGGAGATTACCTGAATCAGAATTTCGAGTCACTGTCTGAGGTTCGGATTCTTGGCGATGCTGAGATGTTGGTTGCTCTATTACTCGTTGACTGTTTCGTCGAGTGTAAACCCGTAGCTCTTGTTCATTCGGCTGCTGAAGTTCTCCCCCTATCTGAGAATTTTCACATGTTAATGGCATAGTAGGATTGAGAGGAGAAGGTGGAGGTTGATTTGGTTGAGATGGGGTTGAGTTAGGTAGAGAAATATCCCAAAACTGATCTTCCGAAATATGTTGCTCCCCCTGAAGATCAGTTTTTGAAAAAAATGACTGGTTCTCAAAAAAAGTGACATCCATGGAGGTGAGAAATTTCCTTTTTTCTGGAGAATAACATTGATACCCCTTTTGAGTAGGAGAGTATCCCACACACACATTTTATGGCTCTTGGATCAAGCTTGCCATGGTTATGGCTATGTATATGGACGAAAGCAGTACAACCAAACACTTTGAGAGGTAGGTTGCTAATGAAACGTATATGAGGATAGGCTTCCATCAAGGAGTTGAGGGGAGTCTGGTAATTTACGACTCTAGTGGGCATACGGTTTATGAGATAAGAGGCAGTGAGAATTGCTTCTCCCCAAAAAGTTTTTTTCATATTTGAGGTGAACATGATAGACCGAGCTACTTTTTAGGAGATGGCGGTTTTTTCTTCCAGAGAGGCCATTTTGTTGGGGGGTATCCACACATGAGCTTTGATAAATAATGCCATGTTTGTTAAGAAACTCACTGAGAACAGAGTTGAAATATTCACGACCATTATCAGTTCTTAATATTTGAATTTTTGTTTGAAACTGATTTTGGATCATGGAGTGAAATTCTTTGAAAATATGTGCAGTTTCAGATTTTTCTTTTAAGAGAAAGACCCAACAAATTCTGGTGTGATCATCAATGAAGGTTACAAACCATTTTTTACCAGTAAAAGTTGTTACTTTAGAAGGCCCCCAAATATCACTATGAATGATGGAAAAAGGTTTTGATGATTTGTACGGTTGAGATGGAAAAAAAGTACGATGACGTTTATTAAGTTGACATATTTCACATTGAAATAAGGCTGGATTTTTATTCTTGAATAATGAAGGAAATAGGTTTTTTAAATAGGAAAAACTAGGGTGGCCAAGTCTACGATGCCACAACATTATTTCTTTTTCTCCAGATAAAGAAAGAACTTCACTCTCACAGCTTGTTTTTTGAGCTTGTCCACTCTCGACTATGTCCTCATCAAAGTAATAGAGCCCTTCACATTCCCTAGCACTGCCAATCGTCCTCCCCGAAGACAGTTCCTGAAATTCACACAAGGAATGAGAGAATTTAGCAATACAGTCTAGATCCTTAGTCAGTTTGGTAATAGACAAAAGATTACATGAAAGATTAGGAACATGAAGAACAGATTTGAGGGTTAGACTCTTTGAAATTGGAATTGAGTCTTTTCCTGCAACGGAAGATAATGAACCATCTGCAATTTTTATTTTTAGATTTCCATGACATGGATTATATGAAGAGAAATTTTGCACAACCTGTCATGTGATCGGTGGCTCCTGAATCAATGATCCAGGGTTCCTTTTTGCTGACACTTAAAGCAATTTTAAAACTACCTTTTTGGGCTAAGAAACACGAAGGATTGCTGAAATTTGTGCTAGACTGGTTAAGGAGTTTGATCAGCTGCTCCATTTGGTCCTTGTTGAGAGATAAGGCACCAGAACTATGGCTGTCTGGAACAGGGACCGGTGGCTGACCGTCGGCTGCAGTTTGATATCCTCGTGGTTCTCTTTCTGATCTTGGCTTCCAGTTTGGTGGTTTTCCATGTATTTTCCAGCATGTTTCTCGGGTATGACCTGATTTGCGGCGAAGGTCACACCATGGTCTGCCTTACCGAGGATGGTTGTCATAGTTTGAGGGACTGGAGTTTTGGGTAACCAAGGCTGATCCTTCTGTTGAAGCAGTTTGATTTTGGCTACCCATCATCACCTTTTTTCTGCTTTCCTCACTCCGAACTTCTGAGAATACTTCACGGATGCTTGGTCGAGGTTTAATACCGAGGACTCTTCCCCTTACTTCATCAAGGTCTTTATTAAGACCCAACAAAAACTTATAGATTCGTTCTTTCTCGACAATCTTTCTATATTTTTCTGCATCTCCGGGAGTATCCCATACAGAGGTCTCGAACATATCTAGGTGCTGCCAATGACGAGTGAGTATATTGAAATATTGGGTAACAGACATCTCACCTTGTCGTAGATCATGAAGGATACCCTTAGTTTCAATCAGTTCTGATGTATTTTCATTATCGGAATAAGTCTCTCTTGCTACATCCCACATCTCCTTTGCTGTTGCATAGAACATGAAGTTTTCTCCCACCTCTGTAGTCATGGAATTAACCAACCATGACATAACCATCATGTTCTCAGCTTTCCAAGTTTTGAATTTTGGATCTTCTTTCGCTGGAGCAGTAATCTCTCCGGTGAGATAGTCGTCCTTTCCTTTGCCACAAACATACATCATGACGGATTGAGACCATTGAGGGAAATTGTTGCCGTTCAGTTTGTGTCCGGTAATTGGTAAGACTGAGCCTTCAAATCCTCCGACATGACTGAGGATGGTTTTTTCTTGAGTAGATGTTATATCCGAGGTATTACTATGACTATCGGTTGCCAAGCCGTGTTTTACCATCCTCTTTTTTTTCTTTCTTCTGGGCGATTTCTGGGCTGATCTTTCCTGCCGAGTGTACTCTGTTTTGAACAGAGCAAGAGGGGACAGGTGTGAAACTGGCCGAAGATACAAGGAAAAAAAAAAATGAAGCTTAGGAAGGGTCGGAGAGATGATGCCAAGCAAGAGCTTTATTTCAGCTCTGATACCATAATGATGATAGGTGAATACTCCGAGAGAAAGAGAAGAAGAAATTCTGTTATTGCATATTTAGAAATTGTACAGAAACAATACATAAATAGGAAAATTTGGAGGCTACAGACCAGCTACTCAATTTCCTAAATTGATGGAATAAAACAAGCAACAAATAAATAGGAATTAAACTAGGAAAGTCAACACACGGAAAGAATCAAATCAACATTAAATAGGAAAAACAATAAGCTAGCATTTACACCCTAAGATTAGGGTGCATTGGTTTACCTTAGTAAGGCGACTTTTACTTCCTCCAATTTTCTGAAGGTTTTTTTGGATCAATGTCCTGCTAGATTCTATTATCAAATTCTAATGGTGTCCCAGGTGCAGTTTCTTGTAGAATGAGCGTTATTTTATAAAGGAGGGAGTCCTCGTTTTCTTTTCCGTGCATATAAATTTTTATATTTGCCTATACATATATTTTCCTTCTGTTTGAGCACAATAAGAGAGAGTATAATACATGGTAAACAAGGTTTAAATAACGGCAGTAGCTGCCATACTGGTGATCGTCACATTGATGTGGATGAGGGGACTTATAAAAAAAAAAAAAGGATTTGGATGAGGGGGTGTAAAAAGGCAATTATGTGGTGGACAAGATGGATGGTACTACTGGAGCTGTGTTTTTTATCCATCACACATCTCCATAGTGTATCGTTATGCGTGTTTTGATAAAAGATAGCATCACACCAACAATTAACAATGTACAAGTGTAGATCATATAAAAAGAAACAAACTTTTTATATAAATAAAACCCATCTATTCATGTAAAATTGGAAACAAATCAGAAACTTATAGATTGAAACTTGAAACCTAATCCATCAATACACTCTCAACATCTAACGTCAAAACAACAAACATAAGTAATATCCAAGCTAAATGAAGTGGAAAAAAAAAAGTTTAAATAAAAATAGACTTGCACACTGAATGAAATGTCTCAAATTTTTAATTCAAGATTACTGTAAGTTTTGAAGAATAGATCTAGATTTTTGGAGGTTTTTGGAATGTTTTGAACCTCAAATTGTGGACAAGAAATGGAAAAAATGCATTTGACTTGGATCTCCTACGAAATCTTCTGCTGTAATGGTTGTTGTGACTGATGTTCAAAAGAATCGATATATTGGCCCATAAGACCATCATGTAATGTCTGTTATTTTAATTTCTGATGGTAACTCTTTTGTTTAGATGTTCCGAGGGCATTGATACTTTTTGTATTGAAACTGAATGAATTCAAACATTTCCTATTTTACAGGATAATGAAAGCATTTTGGAGGCTTATGCTAAGTCATGGATTTCTGGGGCCCTTGATAGGGCTGCAACTCGAGGATCAGTCACCTTTACACTGGTTCGGCACCACCTTTCATCTTTCATTTTTTGTTGTCACGCTGGTGATAATTTATTGCTCCGAAATAAGCTTGTCAAGTCTCTCCTGCGAGACTACTCCCGTAAACAGCAACATGAGGTATGTAAACTGAAGAATCCATCCGGTCAAATGTGTGCATTAAGAAATTAACTGTCTTTAATGCACGATATATTATCCAACTCTGTTAACATTTTGCTAGCGTATATGCATTAGCTAAGGAACCCCAACATACTACGATCCACGTGTTTATGTGGAACAAATTTGTGTAAAGGATAATGAATTAGATTCATATGAAATAACATTATCTTCTACTTCTTTTTTTTTTTTTTTGGTTCTTTTTCTTTTTTTAATAAGTAAAGAACCATACAATGTAGGTGCCAAAATACATGGGAAAACCTTGCTCACAGTAGGGATATACAAGTTATACACTGAAACCTTCAAAAGTCCACTTGTTGCACTAGCACCAAAGTCAAATACACCATGGAAGACAGAGTGGAGTCAAATCCTGACGCCAACCTCCAACAACACCAATCCTTCAGCTCTCCTACACGTCAGCAATTGTCCTTGCTATAACCCACCTTTCCCTGATAGCGGAAACAATAATTGTCTGTACATTTTCCTCTTCCGCGTCAAACCACCTTCCCTATGCAACCTTTTGTAAAGCTGCACAAGTCCTCACTTTGATGTTTCCTACGGTGCTTTATCCTCAACATCAAACACAGTGCAACCAAATGACCGATATGATTCTGCCCCGTATGCACTTGCAACTCTCTGGCAGATTTTGTGTTCTTCTATCATTCCTCAACTTACAATACCCTATTTTTTGCTTGGGCTCACCTCTTCCTGATGTAGGACTAAAATGCTTTGATACCAACTGATGTAGAACTAGAAAGAAAGCAGGGGATGAGTATCAGAAGATAAGATGAGACTGGAAGAAGGGGATGAGAAAGCAGACCGGGGGGGGGGGGGGGGGGGGGGGCGGTGGTGGTGGGGAGGAGAGGATAACACAGATTGAACTAGGCTGGACGGATAGACTGAAGGGTTGACAAGAGTAAGAATAATGGGGGAGGAGAAGAAGATATAAAGAGAATTATCAAATTCACGATATTATTTTATCATCCCACACTATTTTTTTTTGATTATGTAGGAGCCTTTATATGGGCGAAATCATAACCAGACCCTAAAACCCAAAAAATAAAAAATAACCTTAAAACTTAACATTACCAAAAATAATAGCAAGCGTAAATACAGAACTGTAATTTACAAACAATTCCTAATTTTATTTTCTTTTCCCCTTCTCTAGTAGTAGGTGCAATTATATGTTGTTCAAGCTCTTAGGTTATGTCTTGGTCTCCATTAGATAACTCAAGAGATGGAATTTTTTTTTTTTTTTTTGATAAGTAAATAATGTATAAAAGAGCGTTCAAAAGGGGGACGCATCCCAAAAGAGCTACAAAAGAACAAAGGGCCTCTAAACCCTCAAAGAACCCAAAAGATCAACAAACTCCTCTATGGATTTACAATTTCTCCCTATAACCCATCCAAAAGGGTGCTAATAATGGAGAATTTCAAAGACCGAATAGGATTTTCCTTTCCTTCGAAAGATCTCCTATTTCTCTCAAGCCAAATGCACCACCAAACGCATAAAGGTGTAATTCTCCAAAAATTCCTGACTTGAACCCCCACCGTACAGCCTTTCCCAGCCTCAATAAAGCATATGGGAGACCTCAGCATAACTCGCCGATACCCGAATAACCCCAGCATGAGCATCCAACAATCCCGTGCCACTGGGCAATGCAAAAGAAAGTGATTAATTGTTTTCCTCATCATTCTTCACATAAAGAAGCAGTTAACCACAATCTATTTCCTTCTCCTTAGGTTGTCTTGAGTCAAAATCTTCCCTAAGATGGATGCCCATGCAAAAAACGCCACTTTCAGCGGAGCCTTCAAATGCCAAACAGCCCTCCACGGAAGGGGAGGAATCGGAGTATCCGAATGACACCTATAAAGAGTTCTAACATCAAAGCGCCCCTAACAAGAAGGAAGCCTCATCCAAGAGTCAGATACATCTCCCCTAATTTCCTGCCGATACAGGAGTTCTAATAAACTACAAAACATCCTCAATTTCCCAATCCTGAAAATGCCTCAAGAATCGAACATCCCATACTGTTCTCCCACTATCAAGGCGATAGCAGTCGACCACCATAGCTTGACGATTAGGAGCTATCGGAAAAAGTCTAGGAAAAGTGTGCGCAAGAGAACGATTACCACACCAAATGTCCTCCCACAAATGGATTCCCTTGCCATCCCGAACACGAAACCTGATATGTTTTAGGAATTCATCCTAACCCTTCCGAAAAAACATTCCATGCCCTCACTCCCCACATTTGCTCACAACCACCCTCCGCCATAATCTATGCCTCTCAATCCCAAATCTCCAAAGCCATTTCCCTAATAAGGCCTTAACCCCCCTTCTGGATCGAAGTGCAGACAGGCTCCCATCTAACCAAATGAAACTTGGTACTCTTCCCCTTTACCTCCCCACAGAAAATTTTGTTGTAACCTATCAATTCTCTTAGCCGCACTACAAGGAATTTGGAAGATCGATAAGAAATAAGAGGAAGACTCGAGAGAGTGATTTTAATTAACCCTCCCACCTTTAGACAAATACTGCTTCTTCCAACCTGCCAACCTATTCTCAAATCTCTCAACCACTGAGTCCCAGTTACCCACTTTCCTGGATGGAACCCCAAGAGGCAATATCGGATAAGTAATGGGAAAAGAACCAATACTGCAATCCAAAGTGTTGGCTAAAGTTGAGATTTCAGGAACATCCCCAACCGGCACCATAACACTCTTCCCCACATTCACCTTTAAACCAGAGACAACTTGAAACCAAATCAAAATACATCTCAAGAATCTCATCTGGAAATCATTAGCATCACAGAAAACCAAGGTGTCATCAGCAGACATCAAATGTGAGATTTCCAACTGGCTAGCGATATCTCTTCCCACCCTGAAGCCTCTAAAAAAACCCAAATCCACAGCCCTTGCCATCATTCTACTAAGACCCTCCATCACAATCAGGAAAAGAAAGGGGGACAGTGGGTCCCCTTGTCTCAACCCCCTCGAACTGCCAAAAAAACCTGTTGGAGCACCATTGATGAGGACCGGGAATCTAGGACTGGAAATGCAAAATTCAATCCATTTCCTCCATCTCTTCCCAAAACCCATTCTCTCAAGAAGAGAAAGAAGAAAGCTCCAGCTGACGTGATCATAAACCTTCTCAATGTCCAGTTTGCATAGGACCCCTAGAACCCCACTACACAACCTAGAATCAACACATTCGCCAGCAATAAGAACTGAATCCAAAATCTGATGCCCCCCAACAAAAGCATTTTGAGAGTCCGAAATGATTCCGTCCAACACCTCCCTCAATCTCAAAGCTAAAATCTTAGCAATTATTTTGTAGATGCATCCCACTAAACTATTGGGTCTAAAGTCCTTCACATCCGTCGCTCCCCCCTTCTTAGGAATAAGAGCAATAAATGTTGAGTTCATGCTCTTCTCGAAACGGCCCTGAGAATGAAAAGCATGGAAAGTGTTCATCACCTCTCCCTTAACCACCTCCCAACTTTCAAGAAGGAACCTTATAGAGAAACCATCAAGACCCGGGGCTTTATCCCCATTACAACTCTTCAACACCTTCACGACTTCTTCTTTTGAAAAGGGCCTTTCCAACCCCTCACTCCCCGATCCGAAGATCGCATCAAACTGAAGCCCTCCAAGGGAAGGACGCCAACTTGAGGTTTGAGTGAACAACTTATGATAAAAAGAGGCAACCCCTTTACAAATATCCTCTTCCTTTGACAATAACTCACCGTCCACCATAAGCCTTCCAATATGATTGCCCCTTCTATGGGCATTTGCAAGCCGATGGAAAATTTTTGTGTTTCTATCCCCTTCCTTCAGCCACAAAGCACGAGATTTTTGCCTCCATCTCCTCCTGAATAGCAATCTCCGCAATCTCCGCTTGACCCTCACTCATCCTTTGCCTTAAAACCTCCTCAATAGAACCCAACCCCTCCTTCCGATCAATGTTAGCAATCTCTGAAAGAGCACAATTCTTCCTCCATTCCAAATTAGCAAAAACATCCCTATTCCATTTCTTGATATCTTCCTTAAGGAACCTCAACTTACAAGCAAGGGAGAAACTCGGGGAACCATCTACAGCATAACCTCCCCACCAAGACCGAACCATCTCCAAGAATTCCTCTGCTCTAAGTCATATATTCTCAAATCTGAATGGGGAGCTTCTTTTCTTTATCCCACCACAGTCTAACACCAAAGGAATATGGTCAGATGTAGGACGAACCAAAACCGCCTGGACGATATCCGGAAACTTCTCCTCCCAATCCCCAGACACAAGGAATCTATCCAAGCGAGAGAGAGTGGGGGCCTCTCTACCATTGTACCAAGTAAAGGAAGCTCCCTCCAAAGGTAGATCAATCAATTGACAATCATCAATGAACTTAGAGAACTGCTCCATTGCCGAAGTCCACCCACCGCCCGAAGATCTTTCCATATGAGAATGGATGATATTGAAATCCCCTCCTACGCACCAAGGAAAAGGCCACCTATCCTGAACAGAAAGAAGTTCCTCCCATAACTGTTGGCGAACATCATCGTCATTAGGCCCATAAACACCCGAAAAGATCCAATGAAAGCCATCCTCCTTCATAGAGAAGGCACAAGACACCGAGAAAACACCAACCCATACATCGAGCTTGCAGACCCACCTTTTGTACCACATAATAATAATACCTCCTGCAGCACCGGAAGCATCCAAAGCAATCCAATCCACCCCAAAGTCTCCTGACATCCTTATCCGATACTGACAAAAGTTTCGTTTCTTGCAAACACACAACATGCGCACCCCACTTGTGGATCCCCAACTTCACCACCTTCCTTTTATCCGGATCATTTAGACCTCGGACATTCCAAGACAGAATGTGGAACTTCATAAGGAAACAATACCAGATCCAATAATCCCTATATTTTCTCCCAATAATATACTTCCTTATAAACAAAACCAGATC